ACGAACGAGAGATCAGGGTTTTATTTATTCATTCATTCTGTTTCTCTTTTCTTTAATTTTCTGATTGATGATTTTGATCGGAAATTTTTAATGAAGATTTAGGGGTGAATTGCGCAGACTTTAATGCAGTTTATTCGAACGTTTGGACATTTTAGAGAATTATTTTTAACAGTAATACGAGATGGAAAATCTCGTTCTTTTCATCACAACATTGTGATTGTAAATTATCCAGTTGCAGTAACGATAATTGTAATATTAACTTGAGACAGTGCGTGGATACATTTGCAGGCAGAGAGAAAAATTGTTGATTAAATCAGTAATCAATATTAATAACACAATTTCATTACCTAACAGGTTTAAAATGGCCTCGAAATGAAAGTGAGAGAATGTGCACAAAACTCACGATAAAAGAATCTCGAGTGAAATTTTTTCAACTAGTGCAGGATCAACATTTTTTTCTTTTTTTTTTTTACGATTGTACCTCTTGAATTATACATAGATTTTTAATTGAAAAATGTTCTATTTGTTCCTATTTGAAGGTGAAAAACTTTTTAAAAATCAAGCCACACGTTAAAGCTACTTTTATCACCTCTGAATCTCGCTTCCATTTCAACCGGCAAGAAGATCTTCCAACGTTTTGAGAAAAAATTTTAGCGTGAAATTGAAACGAGAAAAAGAGAGAGAGAGACATGACGGGCATCAACAAAGACCTTTTTGCACGTTTTCTACGAACCGAAAATTAGGCTGAAAATAATTCAAAGAACGGAACAAAGTTAAAAACGACTGACAGGATGAATGTTTAACTCAAAGACTCCGAGTTAAACAGGCGGAGACTATACGAACCGTGAAAGAGGATCACGACTCGGGGAAATTAGGTTTCAACCAGTTCCAATGTAAAATTCCCGCGATATCGCAGGAGCACTCGTTCCTTAAAACGAAATATCGATATCGACAAGGTGTAGTGCTCGTAAATTTCTCTCAATATATCGTGTCGTATTGCCAGATGTCCAAGCGCAGCGCGCGAAGATTTATACAACCATTAAATGTCCACGCGAAGTAATAACGCGTTAAAATTACCGTGAAATCGTTTCGAATCTCTAACTCTGCCATTTTTCTCCGACGTCTGTCGTCGACGATTAACGAGCAATTATTATCCGAGATATTATCTTGATATCCCAGATAATAGAATTGATATTCCTGGTAAATTATCTTCGTTTCGTTGCCATTTATTTTTATCTTTATTTATTTATTCTTTTTTTTTTCTTATTCTCAGCTTCGCTAACTGTGAAAGAAAAAAAAATCATATCTTATCACAGTACACGCTGGAACTACATAGCCTCTAGTTTAAAAGTCTTAGGACAAGTATTATATTTCTTTCAAGACTGGAAAGATTAAATGATAGTTGATAAAGCTGTGTTTATAATGAATCTGTATAGTGTTGATATACTTCAAAATTTTATATTGCTACAATATTGTAAAATAGTTGATAGTTGATGTTATTTAATTGTAATAATTTTGTTACAACATTGTACTGAAAAATTTTATTACGATAAGTGTAAATAACGGGACTGTACGAGATTTCTTTTGTCGCTTTATTTTGTTTTATTTTTTTCTTTTTTTTCTTCGTCATAGATAAATCCAGCTATGTGTTCGTTACTGGATGCCCAATAAATTTTCATCCAGATGGTAATGTCGTGAAAATTCATTAAACAAATTAAATACCAGGCTAGCTTTCGGAAAAATCTGGTCGATCGGTTAATTCGAGCCGCGTACGGACGTTTATTGGTGGAATGACATAGTCTGAAATTGGTTTCAAGTTATGTGTACACTTGTATAAAAATTTATCTCTCGATGTAGTCTATTTTTTTGTTGAAATTTGGAAGCAGTAACTCGGGGAACGTGAGAAGTATTATAAAATGAACACACGGGTCGATAAAAATATTAAAATACGTAACATTTCTTTGTATTTTTAAATATTACTTTTACCACTTCAATTATTGTGTATCAGAGTACTTTTAAAACTTAAAATATCCAATAAGTGTAATATAAAAGTGTACATATTTTATTTACGATAGAACTTTGTGTGAACAAAATTTTGGCAATGCCCGATTATCTGAACTCTAGTTAAGCTCCTATTTTTTTAAAATTAATTACCTATAATACATTCCTATCAACAACCACAAACAAAATAGGAAATTTTTTTAAATTGTATAATATAATATCTTTTTAAATTAACTATTTACAATACATTCCTGCCAACAGTGTGTCAATCCACTTATGCATTGTACATATATGAACGCGTGTCTATATTCAATAAACTTGTTTTGTGAAATCCTCTTACGAAAATGAATACTTCTTAAGTATTAAGTATTAACTGAAACGAAAAATCACACGTGATGGCGAGGAGGAATACGTGGATGTACGAACAACCGATAGATTCATATAAACGGAGTTCTACTATATAAATGCTGTCTGAGAGTTAATTCTTGAATAAAATTATTTAGTTACAAATATTAGTAATAATTTGTGCTATTATTAAAATTTCGAGTATTTCATTTCATTTTACACTTTACGCTATGATATCTCTCTGGTGAAGATTACTTTTTAATAAAATTAATTTGATTCAAAATTCAATAACAAATAAAGCCTGATTTTTTTTTTCTTAATGTTAAGTAATATCAAATAAGGAATCTCGGTACATTCAGAATATTTCTTTTCTTTTACTTGTTCAATGTTACATATATTTGATTGATCGAACGTTCGAAAAACCCAGGTTTCGCCGTAACTGTAATTCGTAAATCCGATTGTCACGTAATCACAGATCCACGCCTGACCAATAAAACTCACGAATTTTACAAAAGCGAAGTTAATCAGTTTGTCTGCTAATAGCAATTCGAATGGCAATTACCGCGTTGTTCGCTGCTGTTCCAGTCGTGATTTATCATATGACGAATGGGAGGAACGACAGAAGTCCACCGCAGCGCCGATATCACGGGACATGTATCGTCGCCGAACGAATAAATTTTAGGCGCGGGCCTCGAAAACTGAGCCTCGAAGTTTCCCTCCCTCCCTCCCTCTCTCCATCCACCCCCCCTCGGCCATTTATCACGCGTTTTCGGCCTGCCGAGCCGAAAATTTCGCAAAATTGCAAAGTAATGTATTCCACCGAAGTAACAGCATCTGGTATAATGCGATTTGTTAAAGGGTGAGTAGCGGCCAGAGGGTAGGGAGATGAGGGGGGGGGGTGGTGGCGCGTCAACGTTGCCGGATGTTAATCAATTTTCCACCGGAAATTTCGGTTTGGCGAAATAACGACGGTAATTTCGCACTCTTTCAGCGCTGCCCCTCAGTTTTAACCCACGGTTAATTACGCGAATAAACTAGCTTAATTTCTCTTTGAATCCTTCTTTCATTGTGAGAGAAAGTTTCTGTTTCGATGAATTATGATTAACCCTCATCACGTTGGCTGTCGCGCAATGTTTATAATCTCGCTTTGCTTGCTCGGTATATTTTCACCCTGTTTAATTACGTTTAATTCGATTGTTATTTATGCATTTGTAGTTTCATTTTATTTGTATTATATTTTATTCCGTTATCTTGTAATGATATATCTTTAATCGTTCTTAAAATATTTACAATTGGAAGTATCGGTTGGTTTAAAATTTATTTTAAATTGAAAAATCGATCAAACGAAATAGTGAAAAATGTATCCTTATTGGGAAAAAATTCGTAAATAAAAATAGTGTAATGTAATTTGCACGATTTGTAGTATTAATTTAACAAGGTGAAAATGAGAATCAGATGGATTTTCGAATATTCGAAATTGAAACTAAAATTGGGAAAATTGGCACTTGAACTTTTGAATTTTAATATGGATCTTTTTTTTTGTTTAATGAAACTCGTACGTCTATTTTGAAATGTCAATGCATCTAATCAATTGTCAATTGTCTAATCTCCGTTAAATGGACGTTAAAATCTTAAAAAAAAAAAAAAAAAAAAAATGAGATGACTAAAAGACGTAGAACACTTCAACTAATAAATAAATAATTTCAAACATTAATTTCCCTCGGTCGATGATTTTTTTTTTTATCATAAATATATTATTCTTGAGAAATTTGTTAATAGGTTTCTTTTTTTTTCCAGCGAAGGAGGATCCTCTGGTGAAGGCAGCGATCCAAGGCATTCCAGAGGAGGCCGCGAAGAGAGGAGTGTTCCCAGAAGATATTCTTCGTGCAAGGTTCCTCAAGGTAATTATACACTGACCGATTGTTCTTCATTACCCTGTCGAAGTTTTACATCCCCTTGAAGACCGCAGCACTAAAAATATTTTCCACCTTTCATTCAATCCTTGTGCAATTTTTTTTTTTTTTAACACGTAGTTTTCCTGAGTCCAGTTTTCAACCTTTTAACAATATTTTAAATGTCACAAAAAGGTTGACAATTTTTATAGTCGACACCTTTTTGGAATTTTTAGCATCTTTTTTTTTAAAGTTTTATTTTTAATATCCTATCCTTTCAAATATTTTGAAAATTTTATAAAGATCTAAGAAATACTTACGATTGTCACGTTTCTGGAATTCCTTTTACCCTGTTCTCGACATTTTCTTCCAAAACTTTGGCACTTTGACAATATTGCGAGATTTAAAAATTTTGATTATTTTAGGTATCTTTAACATTAACACGTTTTATTTTGTCATGTAGTTTCGTTCTATGTTATCTTTAGTCCATTCTGTCTTAATTCTATCTTCTCTCATTACCTTTAAAATTTTCTTCCGAAATTTCGTTCCTCTCAATCCTTTTAATCTTCAATCTTTGTCTCTTTATTATCTTAATCTTCCTAGGATTCTCTTTCTCTTCAAATTTCATTTTTTATTGTTTTTATCAATCACAGCAGAATCTCTAAACATCTTTTCCAAACGTTTCGCCGTTCCTTTCTCAAAGCATTCTATACCTTAAAACATTCGGTTAGCTCTGTTTCACCCCTGGAAACCACAAGAAATCGAATTTGCGAGACTTTCTATCTGAAATCGATAAGGAAATTGAATTCTCTTTATTCCTTTTTATTTCAATGGATTTTCGAGATGGCCAGTTGGTCGGACGGTTATAAAGTTTATAATAAAATGTTATCGGAGGGCTGCAGAAATTTATGACGTGGAAACTGGTTTCAGGTGGAACAAGTGGCCAGACGATTGGCCATGGTACCCGAGGAAGGTGCTTCGCTGCCTATCTATTTTCTTAGTTACCTTCAGAGCTTTTTGATCATCAAAAACGCCAATCCCATACCTCAGTATGAAATCGAGGACAAGCCCATCGATGTGAACAAACTGAACACGTACGATATCCTTCATCGGGCCAGGTAAATGCTTCTTTTGATTTTAGCTTCGATCTATCGTACATTGTTCTAAAATTCGATTTATTCTCTTCTCACAATACATATATTTAGATTTCTTTTTAAATACGCGTTTATAATATTTGTTTTATTTTTTTTTTCGTTACTTTAAATATTGGTCATTTTGTCATTTGGCTGTTTAAAATATTTTGTCGTTAAATTATTTTTCAAATTAAAATTCTAATCGTTTATTTGATTTTTTATTTAACAAACATGTTAGGCAAATAGATACTATAAGTTACAGAAATGTTACTTCGTTATTCGCCAGTTTTCCAGTTAACTGATCAAATCATTCATCTTCGTCATATTGAATTATCATTTAAATTATTAAAATTCACTCTATATAAATATTTATCTTGTTCAGAAAATAAAAAGTCACAGCACATCGAGTAGTATAAAGAATACAGGATGCCACTTAAAAAAAAAAGAGAAACAATTTTTAAATTTCTCAAAAATAGAAAAATTTCCAGTGTTACTTTGTCAAGCAGATATTTAAACGATACCATTTAACCGATCCGCTCTGTATGACAGCAAAGGATTAATCGAAACAAATTAAAACAGTCTCTCCCTCCTACCCTCTTCCTCCTCGACAGCCAACACAGAATCGCAATTACCAGATGCGTGTGGAATATAATTGGGAAAATCAGGTCGCGTCTGCTAATTAGCGGATGAAAGGCTGGCTTCTGGAAGGAACGGGCAAACCTGACCAAACAGGGAAATTAATTTTCCGGCCCGCGTTTTATCGACGCCGCGTTCCCGTTGTTTCTTATGGGCGGCACCGCGATTTGATGACGGTATTGTCGCCGGTTCTTTGTTCTTCGACACGTTCCAGGCTTTGTTACACCCTTTACCACCCTTTGGCCACGGGGTGAAACGTGGCAATCGATGGTCGAACGCCAACATCCAGATTTTACCGTTGTTCTCATTCGTCACTCTGCATCTTTCTTCTACATAGTTCTTTCGCACGGTTGTCATATCATTTCATTAATTTCGTCGCTCTTCTCACTGGCGATCTTTTTTTTTTTTCTTTTGCTCGTTGCAAACGAGATCGAGTGTTGAAACAATCGTCGAATGTCATTGTTAGAGAAAGAAGAAGCGACTTGAAAGAACAGAATTTAACGCTAAAGATTTCTTCTTAAATATCTTTCTATTAAAATGGAATTAATTGGGCAACTTATAGTTGAATTATTTTTTTATACTTGAATTTTACGAGGTTGGATATTAATAAAAGGATAAATTTAAACGAGCGAAATTTGATTGGAGAAAATCTTAACGTTCTTAAGGATCAGGAGAACAGACACTGAAAGATTTGTGAAAAATTCTTGGATTCTTGGAAATAACATAAGATTAATCGTAATTATTTCAATCGCAATAATCACAAAATTGTTTCCAAAAAAATATATCGAGTCCAGTGAGATTTGTTGAATATTATTCTCGAGAAAGTTCTAAATATCAAAACTCGAGTATTTAACCTCTGGCAGGCTAAAGCTGCAACAACCTCTAATACCTCTCCCTTTTCTTTAAAACTTCATTCAAATTATGCCAGAACTTTCCAATTAAATTTCCCGGTAAAACGATTTTTTTTCACTCGCTGGTCGAAAACGAACGAACCTCAGTTTAATTAAAAAACGAGCAACCCGGCTTCTGCGAATTAATTCACAGAATTCCTATTAATTATGCAAGGAAGATAACGCTGCGTTCCTTTTAGGAAAATTCGTTAATCCTGAAAACGGTCGAAACTTTATCTCCCTCTCCTTCCGGTGAATGTTTCTTTTTCCTTTTTTTTTTCTTTTTTTTTTTTTCTTTTCTGCGACTCGAGAGAAAACCCTTGCTCGCGTTATCAGCATTAAGGCAGCTCGTTTGCCTTCGTGCTGCAACGTCATGCCGCGTTGCAGCGACATTAACAGCGTGCACATGCGAGTAAATTAGAATTGCCGCGAACGATACGAGCCCGCTGGTGCTGTTGGCGGTTTCCACATAGGTCTCGCAGCTTTTTGCCAGATAATTTTTAACGCGGCAGCGTCGAAATTTGGTAAAGGGACGTAAGCACTGTGAGCAACGTGAACGATGGTCCACGTAATTGCGGGTGTCCCCGAATTTGTGAGGCAAACGCGTTACTTAGTCGGTCATTTACGGTGTAATTAATGATAACCAAAATTTATTTAGTATCTTGGCTTTTTTGAAATCGGTGGAGCATGTGTATATAGTTTTCTCAACGAGAGTTTATTTAGAGAGTCCTGTCTCATCCAAATTTCGCGTATTAGTATGCAAATTCTGCATGTTTCGCTCTTTAGTTCTGTACGATGGCGAATTCAAAATGGAACTTTTTGTTTCCTTTAGCATTGATCGTTATAGAAAAAGTCTTGAGAATATTTCGAAAATGAAGAAATTAGAGGAATTAGAACTTATTTCGCGGAAGTGTGAATCATTGCATATATTGTTTTCGATTTAATTGTCCTTGTAATGTTTTCTAGTCTGGCGGATTCGTTTGTTTCATTTGGCAATGAAATTTTGATAGTAATTTACAATAACAGTTCTCTCATTCTAAGGAAATACGTAAGCCAAATAATGTAATCCTAAATTATTGCAATATCTAACGTCCAGTTGACTTTCTTGTACGGTTTCCTTTTCAATCTTCTAATCATTAGCAAGTTATTCTCTTTCTGCATCGTGTCAGATTGACCTTAAATTCAATAAGCCGAAATTTAAAATTCAAACTGCTTGAATGACTTATATTTATTAATAAGACAAGAGATCGAGAGTGGAGTCGAACGATATTGAGAATGTAATGTCGCACGCCTGATTTCTCATCGAATAAAAGAAACATTAAGTCAAGACATTACGACGCTGCTCAGGGGCGAAAAAGATGGATCGCGACTGCACAAAGGACACAAAAAGAAAAAAGAAAAAAAAAAGAAAAGGCGATGATATTTAAAAATACACGAACGCGAAATCACGATGTCGCTGCTGATCTTCGGCCGGATGGAAGTATTAAAAAATGCAAGTGCTACATCTAGCCAGCTGAAACACGACGATTTGCCGTGGCGCGTATTGCGCCGAAAAAAAAATACAGCGCGCATAAAGAAGCGGACGGATAAAACGCGGCCGCAAAATATGCATATCATAGATACGTGGCTCGTTTTCAACGAACGATGGGAAAAGAGGAACTGTGCGCGCGTGAATTCCGCGCGTCGGACCTACGCCGAGTACATCCAGTCCGAGTAAAGAGAGCAGGGAAAGGGGAGAGGAAAAATATGGCCGCGCAAATACGCGAGTTTTGCGTGCATACTGTCGGAGGATACAAATTCCGTGGAATTCCCACTGGTGAAAAACAGGCTTGAATGGCGGAAATTCTGTACCCGGAATTATGCTAGTAATTAAGGGGTTGGCGGGGATAGGGGTGGAAAATGAACGAGCTCGAAACGCCGGTTAATTGTATCGTGGACTTAGAATTTAGGCTAGTCGTTGTCTAGCCGCCGTGAGTGTTTAGTTACACTTAGTTTCTTAAAGTTTTACTTTGAAGTAGCTATTTAATTTTTTTTTTTGTTTTATTACATTTTAGTAGCAAATAAACGAGCTTAATTGTACTCGTTAATCGTATCATGGACTTGGAAATTAGACTAGTATCCTCGATCCTGGTATCCTGGATTGGATTATTTGTTGAGTGAATTAGCAGCGTCTAAAAGTGTAAACGTGCGTTTCTTTAACTGCTGAAACTTTTCAATCTCGAAATTGCTTGATTTTTCATTAGATTTTCTGGATATATTTCATTTGGAGTGTTCGAAAACGAATGAGTTTGAAGTGTTGTTTGATCGTATCATGGACTTAGAATTTAGACTAGTTGGTCGTGACTAGTTTGATTATTCTAACTTCTCTAATAATCTTTTATTTAGAATATTTGTATCTTGATATTCTTCAAAGAGAGATCCTTTTTTTGGACTTTTAGTTCACTTTTTTTTTTTCTATTTATAGCTAGAATCGTAAAATCTCAGCATTTAAAGGACGAGAATTAATTGGATTAATCTTTCTTCTGAATGGTCGAAAAAGTTTCTCCGCGTGTAATTGAAAAGATGAATTTTCACGATTTCGGTGATTAACAGCCACGTAATCTCGTGAATTATAAGATCCGCTCTATAACACCAATTTCTCGGTTAGATTCTTGCAAACAATAGGATCGTATATCATGGTCGGATGGCTGACGGTGGCTCATACTTAGGATTATAATTGGGCCGCCGATGAACTCAATTAAGTAGAATGTATGAGTGGATCCCTTTAACGAGCTTTTCTATCTGACGTAACCCATTCTTCCGTTACCTATAAAACGATTTAACCGTCGAGTAGCTAGCTTAAAAATTATTCTCACCGATGAAAGCCATATCACGAAAGAAATTTTTATACTTCTACATGTTTCTTTATTCGGATCTAAATATTTTCTAAAATTTAAAAATGGACTTCCTCCTTCATAAAACATGACACTTGGAATTAATTTCGAAATAAATTCAAGTCGAGTGAATTAGTTTTTAGACGAATTCTTCAAGTAAATTAAACTTGGAATTTAAACTAAATTTAAGTCGTCTGTCATAATTATTCTTGCACTTACGGCTGAGATTGAATTAAATGAAATGTCTCTCTACAAATCGAACGTTTTAAATGTTTCACTTTAAACTACGTTGCTAATAAAAATGAGAAAGCTCCATAATATTATAAATTAAAACTTACATCTAAAATATCGTTCTGGGCTCCACCCAATCCAAACTCTCCAACGTCCCTCAGATTTATCAATTAATCAATTAAATTACTCTTTTTTTATCTCTCACCAAAAAGCAAGGTTTTTCCGCGCCCCATCCCTCTGGAGGGCTCCATAAATATCCTTCATCCAGATTCCGAAAGCCGGAAGGCACTCTAATATCCACCGGGCGCAGCCACGGCTACAGCTAAAATCGTTTGTCTGAACCTTCCTCCTCCAACGATCGGTTTTCATCGCACGCTCGGGCTCGTTTCCGCCCGTGAGAAATCGCTCGGGCCATAAAACTCTGCGTGGCAACAATCGCTCCGGTTTCGGTTCACAATTTTACGCGAGATCTTTCTCCTTTGTTTCTGTGGATCAAGCCGTAATTGACCGGTCTATTATGCAGGTAGGTTGATTAGACAACCGTTTGAGTCATCGCGAATGTTTGACCTCGTCAACGACGATTTCAAATTTATCAAATTGTTTCGCTACCATTTTGCAGATATTAAAACAGGGCATTTAGCGTGCAAAAAAACAACACCCTTCTCACCCTTTTCGATTTCCCTCGGTTTTCTTTCGGGATTTTCGTTCATTTAATAGAGGATCGTCGTACATCGAAGTCTGGGTGGAATTTCTTTTTTT